TACCATTTATACCCAGTATATACCATGGTATATACCACAATTGATTTCTTGTGTAATTTTTTAGTAGGGTATATACCGGGTATAAATATGGTATATACCCCTCAAATCGTTTATAAATATAATAGTTATCCCCCATGAAGTGCCAATTTATCAACCCGGATGTGGGAGATAAGAGAGTTATCTCCCGGTTACACAATATTGTATGACCATAGATTTTGATAGTTATCATTCCGGTCTTATTCATCTCAGGGATGATAACTATTAAATCCCGATAGGCGATGAATAAACTTGAATGATAACTCAACGATCTACTTCATTACAGAATATGTGACCGGGTGATAACATTCTTTCGTGTCCTTTTTACTGAACACATTTTACAGAAAATATATATAATGCAGATCATGTGAATTAAATTAAGCTTTATATTAAACTTTTTTAATTATGTTTTATTGATTTGCTAAATAATAAAAATTTTATTTCAATCATTCATTTATTTTAACACTTAATTATGACACATAACAATAGGTAGATTTTTATTTTTCCTAAGTAATTGATCATAACTAATTATTATAAATTTCTTACTCGAAGAAAAAGGAAAACTATAAACGAACATTCTTCGAGTGAAGAAGAAACTCCTGAAAGAGGGAGAAGTAAAACTTATGAGAAATATGAAGATGAACAAGGTTTTTAAATTTTTAAATTATTACAATATTAACAGGCCTTCAATAAAAACTTGAAATTGTTTTTTAACCTTATTTAAAGATTTACGAAATCAATTAAAGGATTTAACGGAACAACTTCGAAAAGCACAAAATAAAACAAAATTCTTAGCAATAAAAAAAGAAATAAAATTTTAAATAGAAAAACCTCATCTTATGAGAATACTAATACTGGTACTGATACAGACGGAACATGAAGAAGACGAATACGAACGGGGTAGAGTAGAAGATCATTCAAGTCGGTCCCGTTTCCTTCGTCAAAAATCATTTCGTCGACACACATTTCGTCAAAAGTTCATTTCGTCAAAAGTTCATTTCGTCGAAAATTATTTCGTCGAAAAATTGTTTCGTCGACAATCACTTCGTCGACAATCACTTCATCGACAATCATTTCGTCGACAATCATTTCGTCGAA